TTTTGCTGAAGCATATATATAGATATACATGTTCTCACTTTGGCATGGTTGGAAAAATATTTGGAATTTAGAGTAGTTCTTTTTTAGGAATTTCTCTTTGCTCCCCATTTGGCCGATTCCAAAAACAATGCTTAGAATATTCATTTAGGCTTTCATTTTGGTGGTATGAAGAGGGGTGTTGAAGCTCTCATTTGCTCTTTATGTAGCTGATTTTGAAAAAAAAAACAAAAACAAAAAAAACAAAACAAAAAAAAAGAGGAGAAGAGAAGAAGAGGCTCCCTCTTCCCCTATCATCTTAAGTTGGGAGAGTTTTAACATCATAAATGAAATCTTCATTTACTTTGTACTTCTGGATGGTTCATGACTTGGATGAACATTTCTTTAGCACTGCCTGATATATGAACATTTTTTTTAGCAGTAATGAGATGATTTATTTGTTGATTTGGAAAGACCAAAAATACATCTGCTGAGTTTGTAAACTCGCTATTTTTGGGTGCCTATACTTATGGTTTGGGGCAGATTCAAACATTGTTTTAGGGCTGATTATTCACTGTTTCGGAAGGGTTTAAGTTTTTGGGCTGATTTAAGTACTGTTTTGGAAAGGTTTCGATCTTTGTTTATGAGCTGTGGTTCGGCCTAGTTTTGGGGAGGTTTGGGCTGCGGTTTTGGGCCCGATTTTGGTGGTTTGTGGGCTGCGGTTTTAGCCTGATTTTGGGGTTTATAGGCTGTGGTTTGGCCTGGTTTTGGGGAGGTTTGGGCTGCGGGCCCGATTTTGGTGGTTTGTGGGCTGCAGTTTTAGCCTGACTTTGGCGGTTTATGGGCTGTGGTTTGGCCTGGTTTTGAGGAGGGTTGGGCTGCAGTTTTGGGCCCGATTTTGGTGGTTTGTGGGATGTGAATTTAGCCTGATTTTGGAGGTTTATGGGCTGCGGTTTGGCCTGGTTTTGGGGAGGTTTGGGCTGCGGTTTTAGCCTGATTTTGGCGGTTTGTGGGTTGCAGTTTTAGCCTGATTTTAGCGGTTTATGGGCTATGTTTGGCCTGGTTTTGGGGAGGTTTGGGTTGCGGTTTTAGCCTGATTTTGGTGGTTTGTGGGCTTCGGTTTTAGCCTGATTTCGGTGGTTTTTGGGCTGTAGGCATTTTGGCACTTGTTTTGGAGAAGTTTTGTTTGCTTTTTTGCACTGTTTTGGTGAGGGGTAGGCTGCAGGTTTTGGCCTGTTTTTTCTGATGTATGAGCTGCACTTTTGCCCTGTTTTGGAGAAGTTTTGTTGGCATTTTGGCATTTGTTTTGGAAGTTTTGTTGGCTTTTTGGCATTTGTTTTGGAGAAGTTTTGTTGGCTTTTCGGCACCTGTTTTGGAGAGGTTTAGTTGACTTTTACTATTGAATCTTGCGTAGGTATGTAAATATGAGTGGTTTAGGTGTCTGATATGTGAGAACATAAGTCTCATTTGATGCGTATGTAAATGCTTCTATCTACATCCACGATTATTTTATATTTATGCATGGGTCATACAATTCTTATATATATGTATATATGTGTGTGTAGATATCTAATACTCCAACTTGGATGTTTGCACTTATAACATTCTTACGTCGTAAACATATGCATGAAAATTTGTGTTTCACTTTTAAAAATGTGGTGATGAGGGTACCTTTATTGCGATATGAGAGGTTTGGGTGGCATAAACTCAGAGGGAAGTGAGGTGGATGTCAAATATGGAAACATATAGGAATTGAGCGGTAGGAATGGATTGAACTCTTCATAGTGTACCCATACAAGATATTACATAAAGGTGGGGCTGATTTGCTTGTTGTTCTAAAAAGATTTTTAGCGTTTTCTTTTTTTTTTAGGCTAACCCATCTGTTATTCTCTCTCTTCGTTTCACTTCTTTACTATTTCAGGTGGGTTAGCCCTTTCTCTCTCTCTCTCTCTCACCCCATTTTTTTTTCTTTTTTCTTTTCTTACTTCTTGGTTTGATTTAGGTACTTATGTCTAAAACATAAGCGCACATATATGACTTCCATTATATATGAACCATCACATAAGGCTGTAAGTAGGACGGTTTCGGGGTTTAAGGACAATGATGAAAAAGACATCTAGGTATGTGTGAGAAGCTCTAGCACAATCCTGACTCAGTGAATTTGAGAGAATTAGAGATTGACATTATCGTCTCTAAAACACTTACTAAAGAGTCACCCTTTGCTTTTACAGACAGTTAGAAGTTCCAGCCTAACAATAGAACCGACTTATTAACTTTCTAAGGTATGAAAATTTCTTTAAATAATATATATATATATACACACACATAGGGCTGTCAAAAAAGCTCGTTATTCGCGAACAGTTCGTGTTCGGTTCGTCAATGAGTTCGTGTTCGATTCGTTCGATAAGTAAACGAGACAAACGCGAACAAATTTTTTTCGTTCGGTTAGTTAAACGAACCAAACACGAACAGTGATGCGTTCGTTCGTGTTCGAATCGTTATTGTTTGAAATATAAAATAATATAAAATAATTAGATAAAAAAAATTTATTATATTTTAAAACATTAAATTTTATGAATTATAATATATAATAAAATAATAATAATAATATATTAATATACTATAGTAGTAATATACTAATATAAATATTGTATATTTATATAATATAAGTTATATAATTAATATATAATATTATTTTTATATATTAATATTAGGGATGTCAAACTGGCTCGTCGTTCGCGAACAGCTCGTGTTCGGTTCGTGTTCGGCTCGTTCGTTAAGAAACGAACACGAGCTTATTTCAAACAAATTAAATTTTAAACGAACCGAACACGAACACAAGCTTTGTTTGTTCGTGTTCGGTTCGTTTACACCCCTATACACACACACACACACACATAATTAATTAAAAAAAACAAAAATCTTTTAAGTGCATGACAAATCAAAATCACTTTTGAAAAATGAAATCTTTCTTGAATATTTTATGAAAAATTCACGGGTCAGTCATATGAACGATGCTATGAATTAACATTTTCTATGATTGTTAAGCCGACAATCTTTTACTTAGTGTTGGACCGCACATACATGGTGCTAACTGTTTTATTAGTGCCTCAGGGTCTTGCTTTCGACCCAGGGTCCTGATTTTGTGTCCACCCCGACCTGAATGCTTACGGTTTTCTTCGGTATTTCGTTCATTTTCTAAGATTTTTATTGAGTTTTCGTGGGTCACTCCCAGTTTTTGTTTGAGTCTTTCATGAGATGCATTCCCACTTGTTCTTTTATACATAAATGCATGTTTGTCCCACCTGCTAAATTTCCCATTATACTTGTTTATTTTTACATGTGACGCTAATCCCATTCACAGGAATAGCAAACCCGTCAAGTACACAAATTTATTTTATATTTATTGCATTTTATTGTCTCTAGTGCACATTCTACTGCTCATTTTTACTGTACATTTACTGCATTTTCTTTACTATTATTTTCCTTACTGCACTATTTACTGCTTTCTTTTACTGCACCTCCTACTCTTTCTTTTATTTATTTGTAGTATACCTCTTATAATAGGAGGTCAATAATATGGTTTTATAGGAGGTATAAAGCGGCATACCACCAACCCAACAATTACATGTACATTTAAACTTAACATCATACCTGAAACTGCTACGACGTGGAACTTTGAGCTAATACTGTGGGCAACACGACGAGGATTTACAGAACAACAACTTCGAGAGAAGAAACAGGTCTACAACAACAAACCTTTCCTTAGAATTAAATAACTAGCTATAGGATTTCGAGGTGGTTTGCCTAGCGTGACATAAATCCTCACTTTATCTTTTAGGCATTTGCACAGCTAGGTTGTGCAATCTAAGTCCTAACTCGCTTTAAGTTCCAAGGTCGTCGTCCGATACGACGTAAACCCTCCTATTTTCCAGGCGTGTCACACAAATATAAGTTCTAAATAATAAAATTTGCAGGATAAAACATCAAATAACATATCAAAATTGAAGTCAAGTAATAGGATAGTTTGGGAAGTCACCGAGGTTTTCCTCAGGATCCATGACATCCCCTACTTTTTTTTCCTTTGATTCTAGAAATAAATGTTCTTATTTGGTTTTTTTCCCACCTGACTTTTCTATGTTCAATCTTAGAAACCCTAAACTTCGAATTCATGAACATAAATGCCTCTGATCATCATCGAGAGTTCTCTTAAGTGACTTCAGTCATTTGAGAGGTAATTAACTATAGGGGTTTGCCTCTATAAAGAGCTTTAAAAACCCAGATAATATAAACCCTATCTAATTTTTTAATATTATGTAGGAGAACTTGTCTGTCAAAATAAAATGTTCGCATACCAAAATGGATGTCATGAATTCATTAGTTTATTTAATTGAGTCTCACCACCAAGTAATATGTCTATTCCTCGGGATAGGTGTGTTCTTGTGATGTTTTGCTCGATTACTTAAACTATTAAATGAATGACATCCATTCAGTCTCAATTTTAAATTAAAATATTATTTTAAAAAAAATCTACATATATATATATATGAACCATCACA